TCTGTGTGTGTGTCAGGTCCCTCTGTGTGTGGTGTCAGGTCCTTCTGTGTGTGTGTCAGGTCCCTCTGTGTGTGTCAGGTCTTCTGTGTGTGTCAGGTCCCTGTGTGTGTGTGTCAGGTCCCTCTGTGTGTGTGTCAGGTCCCTCTGTGTGTGTGTCAGGTCCCTCTGTGTGTGTGTGTCAGGTCCCTCTGTGTGTGTTCAGGCCCTTCTGTGTGTGTGTCAGGTCCTTCTGGTGTGTGTCAGGTCCTTCTGTGTGTGTGTCAGGTCCTTCTGTGTGTGTGTCAGGTCCTTCTGTGTGTGTGTCAGGTCCTCTGTGTGTGTGTCAGGTCCCTCTGTGTGTGTGTCAGGTCCTTCTGTGTGTGTGTCAGGTCCTCTGTGTGTGTGTCAGTGTCCCTCTGTGTGTGTCAGGTCCTCTGTGTGTGTGTGTCTGTGTGTGTGTCAGGTCCCTCTGTGTGTGTGTCAGGTCCCTCTGTGTGTGTGTCAGGTCCCTCTGTGTGTGTGTCAGTCCTCTGTGTGTGTGTCAGGTCCCTCTGTGTGTGTGTCAGGTCCTCTGTGTGTGTGTGTCAGGTCCTTCTGTGTGTGTGTCAGGTCCTTCTGTGTGTGTGTCAGGTCCTTCTGTGTGTGTGTCAGGTCCTTCTGTGTGTGTCAGTCTCTGTGTGTGTCAGGTCCTCTGTGTGTGTCAGGTCCTCTGTGTGTGTGTCAGGTCCCTCTGTGTGTGTGTCAGGTCCTTCTGTGTGTGTGTCAGGTCCTTCTGTGGTGTGTCAGGTCCTCTGTGTGTGTGTCAGGTCTTCTGTGTGTGTGTCAGGTCCTCTGTGTGTGTGTGTCAGGTCCTCTGTCAGTCCCTCTGTGTGTGTGTCAGGTCCCTCTGTGTGTGTGTCAGGTCCTCTGTGTGTGTGTCAGGCTCTGTGTGTGTGTCAGGTCCCTCTGTGTGTGTGTCAGGTCCTTCTGTGTGTGTGTCAGGTTCTTCTGTTGTGTGTGTCAGGTCCTTCTGTGTGTGTGTGTCAGGTCCTTCTGTGTGTGTGTGTCAGGTCCTTCTGTGTGTGTCAGGTCCCTCTGTGTGTGTCAGGTTCTCTGTTGTGTCAGGTCTTCTGTGTGTGTGTGTCAGGTCCTCTGTGTGTGTGTGTTCAGGTCCTCTGTGTGTGTGTCAGGTCCTCTGTGTGTTGTCAGGTCCTCTGTGTGTGTGTCAGGTCCTTCTGTGTGTGTGTCAGGTCCTTCTGTGTGTGTGTCAGGTCCCTCTGTGTGTGTGTCAGGTCCCTCTGTGTGTGTGTCAGGTCCTCTGTGTGTGTGTCAGGTCCCTCTGTGTGTGTGTGTGTGTGTGTGTCAGGTCCTCTGCTGTGTGTGTCAGGTCCCTCTGTGTGTGTCAGGTCCCTCTGTGTGTGTGTCAGGTCCCTCTGTGTGTGTGTCAGGTCCCTCTGTGTGTGTTGTCAGGTCCCTCTGTGTGTGTGTCAGGTCCTTCTGTGTGTGTCCAGGTCCTCTGTGTGTGTGTCAGGTGTGTGTGTGTCAGGTCCTTCTGTGGTGTGTCAGGTCCTTCTGTGTGTGTGTGTGTCAGGTCCTTCTGTGTGTGTGTGTCAGGTCCTTCTGTGTGTGTGTGTCAGGTCCTTCTGTGTGTGTGTCAGGTCCTCTGTGTGTGTGTGTGTGTGTCAGGTCCTTCTGTGTGTGTGTCAGGTCCCTCTGTGTGTGTCAGGTCCTCTGTGTGTGTGTCAGGTCCTTCTGTGTGTGTGTCAGGTCCCTCTGTGTGGTGTCTGTGTGTGTGTCAGGTCCCTCTGTGTGTGTGTCAGGTCCTCTGTCAGGTGTGTGTGTGTCAGGTCCTCTGTGTGTGTGTCAGGTCCCTCTGTGTGTGTGTCAGGTCCTCTGTGTGTGTGTCAGGTCCTTCTGTGTGTGTCTGTGTGTGTGTCAGGTCCTTCTGTGTGTGTGTCAGGTCCTTCTGTGTGTGTGTCAGGTCCCTCTGTGTGTGTGTCAGGTCCCTCTGTGTGTGTGTCAGGTCCTTCTGTGTGTGTGTCAGGTCCTTCTGTGTGTGTGTCAGGTCCCTCTGTGTGTGTGTCAGGTCCCTCTGTGTGTGTGTCAGGTCCCTCTGTGTGTGTGTCAGGTCCTTCTGTGTGTGTGTCAGGTCCTTCTGTGTGTGTGTCAGGTCCCTTCTGTGTGTGTGTCAGGTCCTTCTGTGTGTGTGTGTCAGGTCCTTCTGTGTGTGTGTCAGGTCCTTCTGTGTGTGTGTCAGGTCCTTCTGTGTGTGTGTCAGGTCCTTCTGTGTGTGTGTCAGGTCCTTCTGTGTGTGTGTCAGGTCCTTCTGTGTGTGTGTCAGGTCCTTCTGTGTGTGTGTGTCAGGTCCTTCTGTGTGTGTGTCAGGTCCTCTGTGTGTGTGTCAGGTCCTTCTGTGTGTGTGTCAGGTCCTTCTGTGTGTGTGTCAGGTCCTTCTGTGTGTGTCAGGTCCTTCTGTGTGTGTCAGGTCCTTCTGTGTGTGTGTCAGGTCCTTCTGTGTGTGTGTCAGGTCCTTCTGTGTGTGTGTCAGGTCTCTTCACTTTTGCTGCTGTTTTTCAGTTACAGAAACTTGATGAACGAGACTTTAAGACAGGGACAGCACCTGACACACAGGAGGGCCCTGACACACACAGGAGGGCCCTGACACACAGGAGGGCCCTGACACACACAGGAAGGCCCTGACACACGTGTGTGTTTGTGTGTTTCAGGTGATTAAGATGCACTCGTTTGTGGATTACATCATGGGAGGCTGCCAGATCCAGTTCACGGTAAAACTCTCCTCCAGACCCGGTCCAGACCAGGTCCAGACCAGGTCCAGACTAGGTCCAGTCCAGGTCCAGACCAGGTCCAGACCAGGTCCAGTCCAGGTCCAGACCAGGTCCAGTCCAGGTCCAGTCCAGGTCCAGACCCGGTCCAGTCCAGGTCCAGTCCAGGTCCAGTCCAGGTCCAGTCCTGGTTCTGTTTGTGGTGTTGATCTTTTGTGACTCGTGTGTTTTATGGATGAAGTTTGAAACCTGCAGCTCCTCAGAATCACATGACGTCTCTCACAGACCTGGTCTAGACCTGGTTTAGTCCTGGTTTAGACCTGGTTTAGTTCTGGTTTAGACCTGGTTTAGTCCTGGTTTAGTTCTGGTTTAGTCCTGGTTTAGTTCTGGTTTAATCCTGGTTTAGTCCTGGTTTAGTCCTGGTTTAGTCCTGGTTTAGTCCTGGTTTAGACCTGGTTTAGTTCTGGTTTAATCCTGGTTTAGTCCTGGTTTAGTCCTGGTTTAGTTCTGGTTTAATCCTGGTTTAGTCCTGGTTTAGTTCTGGTTTAATCCTGGTTTAGTCCTGGTTTAGACCTGGTTTAGTTCTGGTTTAGACCCGGTTTAGACCTGGTTTAGACCTGGTTTAGTCCTGGTTTAGTCCTGGTTTAGTCCTGGTTTAGTCCTGGTTTAGTCCTGGTTTAGTCCTGGTTTAGTTCTGGTTTAATCCTGGTTTAGTCCTGGTTTAGACCTGGTTTAGACCTGGTTTAGTTCTGGTTTAGACCTGGTTTAGACCTGGTTTAGTCCTGGTTTAGTCCTGGTTTAGTCCTGGTTTAGTTGTATCTGTAAAACTGGTCGTTATTGATTTTTTATGAGTTAAATAATTGATCCTAAAGTCCAGGTCTGGATCTGAACCGGTCCTGAGGTTTTTTTTGTCTGGGCTGTGAAACGGGTCTGTGAGAGTCTGGTTCTGGTTCTGGTCTGGTCCGGTTCTGTCTGGTTTGGACCTTAAACGCGCTGTGGAGTGGAGAACGGGACAAACAGAGGGATGCCTGTTGCCGTGGAAACCGCACCGTGAGCCCCTGGATACGGTTTCCACGGCGACGGAGGAGAGGACCACCGCGAGGACGAGCGAGGCGCGAAACACGGGGATTACCCCAAAATCCACGACAAGAAACCGTGAAAAAAGAAAAGTCCCAAGACCGGGACCGAGACCAGGACCCAAAACCCGGATCAGGACTAAGACCTGGACCAAGACCAGGACCAGGATTTAAAATGAAAAACTCACAAATCAGTTAAATAAATTAAAATTCGTATTTCATATTTACTCTGGTCTGAGTCTGAGGATCTAAACCAGGACTAAACCAGAACTAAACCAGGTCTAAACCAGAACTAAACCAGGTCTAAACCAGGACTAACCAAGATCTAAACCAGGACTAAACCAGGTCTAAACCAGTACTAAACCAGGACTAAACCAGAACTAAACCAGGTCTAAACCAGGACTAAACCAGAACTAAACCAGGTCTAAACCAGGACTAAACAAGATCTAAACCAGGACTAAACAAGGTCTAAACCAGTACTAAACCAGGACTAAACCAGGACTAAACCAGAACTAAACCAGGTCTAAACCAGGACTAAACAAGATCTAAACCAGGACTAAACCAGGACTAAACAAACTAAACCAGGACTAAACCAGGACTAAACCAGAACTAAACCAGAACTAAACCAGGACTAAACCAGGACTAAACAAGATCTAAACCAGAACTAAACCAGGACTAAACCAGGACTAAACCAGAACTAAACCAGAACTAAACCAGGACTAAACCAGGACTAAACCAGAACTAAACCAGGTCTAAACCAGAACTAAACCAGAACTAAACCAGGTCTAAACCAGGACTAAACCAGAACTAAACCAGAACTAAACCAGGTCTAAACCAGGTCTAAACCAGAACTAAACCAGAACTAAACCAGGTCTAAACCAGACTAAACAACTAAACAGGTCTAAAACAAACTAAACAAGACAGAACTGAACCAGGACTAAACCAGTCTAACTAAACCAGACTAAACCAGACTAAACCAGAACTAAACCAGGTCTAAACCAGGACTAAACCAGGACTAAACCAGGTCTAAACCCTCAGGTTTTCTGACCTGGTGCAGATGTGGTCTCTCATTGTTAAACACTTCATCCATAAAACATAAAGACAAGACAGAACTGAACCAGGACTAAACCAGATCTAAACCAGGACTAAACCAGATCTAAACCAGGACTAAACCAGAACTAAA